GAGGGGGCAGCAGAATGGTAACCAGCCTGGCGGCAACCCCATGGGCAGGTAAGGAGGCTGGGGCCTGGGGGGGGGGTCCCTGAGGGTGGGGTGCTGGAGCCCATCCTCTGCCCGGGATGAGCTTGGGAAGCTGCGGCTGGGGACTGGGAGAGAGTGGGCAGGCCCAGGGAGGAAGAAGGCCTCCCTGTGACCTCTTGGTGGGCTGTGGGGGGTAGGGACAAGTTCATCTCAGATTCTCGTGCCATGATTCTAGAATACTGGAATCACACAGCAGCCGAGTGTCCGAGCTCTGGAAGAAACCCTGGGCCTCGGCCCCGGGGCCAGCTTCCCTGAGCTCCCCCTCTGTGCTGGGCACCATGCTCAGCACACTCCCATTTAATCTTTACAGAAACCCTGGGAGGTGGATCTACCTGTCTTCATTGGAACAGGTGGAAACTGAGGTCCAGAGACAGGAAGCGATTTGCCCAAGGTCGCACAGTAATTAGGGATTATCGTTCCGTGGCAGAGCCCAAACCCCCAGTCCAGGGCTTGCGGGGTGTGTTCCTGGGGGTCACACCCAGGCCTGGAATGGGAGTGAGTCTGTTGGCACTGATTAGCACAATCTAGATCTTTGGGGGGAAGGCCTGGGGTTGCAGAGGTAAAGCAGAACTCGGTTGGCTGGGGAGCATCAGCCTGCAGGCTTCAGGGCCATCCCAGGTCCCGGTCCTAGATTCCTCTCAGCCGGGGGCCTTCAAGGGAAGCCAGCAGGGCCAGGAGGTACTGATGGTTGAGGAACAGACAGAACCGGGTTTGAATTCTGGTCTCGCACTCACCAGCTAGTGACCTTGGACAAGTTACCGAACTTCTCTGAGACTCAGCGTCCTCCTCTCTAAAAATCCTCTGTCCTGGGCTTTGTGAGGATCTCTTGATGTGGGTCTGAGCCCGGTGCCCGGGAGCAATGCCTCACCTCGCTCCGAGTTCTACTTGCTGACCTGCTGGTCTGCCCTCATTTCCCACTGCTGGGCACCGCGCCAGGTGCTAAGGCTGAAGAACTAAGTAGCTCAGGGTTCCCGCACCCCTGAGCCAGCGCTCAAGAGGGTAAGCGGATGGGGGCAGACGAACGGAAAGTGGTTGGGGTGTCTGGCATCTCTGAGGGGCTGTCCTGAATTGCTGTGTGGCTCAGGACAGCCACTTGCTGTCTCTGGGCCTTTGTCGCCTCTCGAACAGTCCTCCGAGGAGTCCGCCCCCAGCTTTCAGGCAAGCTTGTGCCAAAGATAAACCAGACAGGGAGGAAAAGTCCCTCCTCCCCCAGCATGAACTAGATCATGCACAGGACTCCAGCTCCTTAAAGAAAGGACGGCACCTAAATTGTAGGTTGGCTTATGCCCACGGGAAGCTGTAATTTTCCTCCTTCTGGCGCCCAGCCTGTTCAACTTTGACAAGAAAGATGAGACCAGATGAGGGTAGAGGCATAGTCTTCTGGGGTAGCAGGCGGTTTTGGGAGGGTCTGTGGCATCCTCCGCCCAGTACAAAGGCAGGGCCTGGCTGGGTATGCTGTGTTCCCGGGACCCTGTGTGTTAGCACGTGTGTGTGCGTGCAGTGTACATGCGTGTGTCTGAGCAGGGGGGAGGCCCATCCTCAGAGCTCCCTCTGGGCTTCCCTGGGGGCATCTGTCCCCGCATCCTGGATATTAGGTTTGCCCAGCTCCCTGCTCCTCTCTCAGGAGCCTGGCACTTTCCTGCCTCCTCCGGCCCCGGGCTGTGATTGGCTGCCCCACAGGGATGCAGTAGGAGGATGCACGCATAGGGCGGCAAGGTGGACCGATGGGTGACGTAGGGCTCCCAGGCTGAGGAAGCCAGAAAGAACTCCAAGGTCTCAGAGTGCACAATTCCAGGTGGAAGAGGGCCGATTCTGGCATTCAGGAATTCTGACATTCCGATTCAAGGACACGGAGTCTAAAGATCTCGGCCTCCATAACTCCGTTCTAAGAAATTACGTTCTATTTTTAGGATCCTTAGATTCCAGGGGTTTGAGCCCATGATCTTAATAGTTCAAGAACCCGAGGAACAGGGAGGGGAGCTCTGCATAGGCTGGTGGGGAAAATGGGATGCCAGCTGGGGGCCTTCCCAAGGCCCAGCCTCAGTCTGCCGGCCTGTGAAATGGAGGAGTGTGTGTGTGTGTGTGTGTGTGTGTGTGTGTGTGTGTGTGTCTGTTGTTGAGGAGGACCTTCAGGTCCTCCCAGGACTGCCCCTTTCTAGGTGTGTGACCAGGACTGTGTGGCCTCTTCTTTGCACCCTGTCTAATGGTGGGGACAACACTAGTCCCTCTCCCATAAGACCCCATAGGATGCTGTGTGTCACTGGCTTTGCCTGGAACCTGGCAGCTGGGGTAAATAACAAGGAGCTGGAGGAACTTGTAGGATCCTATGAGCCCAGCGTCCAGAGAGCTTCTTCCTAGTGCCAGTGTCCCAGGCTCAGGAGGGCTGATGAGGTCCTGGGGTGATGACAGGTTGGGGCTGGAGGATCAGGGAGGGCTGCTCTGAGCCCAATGAGCCTGGGGTATCCTTGGGAGGAGCCAATGCCAAGGGGATCTTTGCCATTCTCCACATCATTGCCAGGCCTGGTGCTCAGAGCCTTTAGGAATCCAAGGTCCTCGGGCAGGGGCAAACTGGCAGGCTCACCCACCCAGGGGTGTTTGCTCCAAGTTGGGGTGCCTTTCCTTTCCAGAAGCTTTGCATTTTAAAGGTAGTGTCTGGCTAGGGCAGGCAGATGGCAGGTCCCACGGAAGATGATCCAGGCTCAGTGTGGGCTCAGAGTGAGGATATCGGAGGCTTTCTTTTACTCTCAGGGTTTTCTGTAGGGAGAGGCAGGGATAGACAGGAACCAAGGGATGGGGGGAGGTCATCAGGAAGAAAGGGCAGGGAGAGGTCCAAGCCGCAGAAGAGGTTTGGCCTCTAACTGGGCCTCCCGAGAGAGGCTCACAGGTTCGGAGGTGAGCGGTCTTTCTGAGCGAGAGTGGCTTGAATTTCTGCTATCAGCAATTTACCCCCCTTTGCATTGAGAATTGGCCCCTCCGGGCTCCTCTGATTCATTCAACGCCTCAAACACTGACGCAGAGCCTGTGCTATGTGAAGGGACGAGGAGACAGTTCAAAGCTGAGAGGGTGTCTCTACATTTAAGGAAAGCCGGTCTAGCGGGGAACAGGGAAGAGTCAGTTCTAGCTCCTTATAATACATGGGACGCGTGATAAGAAAGGGACTAATGACGTGAGTGGGCATGCCTGTTCCCACTGTGTCACTGGGCAAACTCTTATTCATGCTTCAAGACCCATCTGAAATGCCGTCTTCTCTGGGAAGCCTTCCCCGTGGATGCAGGGTTGGGGGGGTGGCTCTTCTTGTAAATACCCCCAGTGTGCTGTGAGATTTTCCACCATGGGGTGCCATGTGCCCACCTGGCAAGATCACAGCTAGCCACCCCAGGCAGGGCCTTTCGGGGGCACTGGGGGTTGGGCTTGGCATGGGAGGTCCCCAAGCATTCCGATTCCCAGGACAGGGGACATCACTGTGCCTGTAGTTCTTTTTTTTTTTTAAAGATTTTATTTATTTATTTAACAGACAGAGACCACAAGTAGGCAGAGAGGCAGGCAGAGAGAGAGGAGGGAAGCAGGCCCCCTGCCAAGCAGAGAGCCCGATGTGGGGCTTGATCCCAGGACCCTGAGATCATGACCTGAGCCGAAGGCAGAGGCTTTAACCCACTGAGCCACCCAGGAGCCCCTAAAGATTTATTTATTTATTTATTCATTTGACAGACAGAGATCACAAGTAGGCAGAGAGGCAGGCAGAGAGAGAGGGGGAAGCAGGCTCCCCGCCAAGCAGAGAGCCTGATGTGGGGCTTGATCCCAGGACCCTGGGATCGTGATCTGAGCCGAAGGAAGAGGCTTTAATCCACTGAGCCACCCAGGTGTCCCGTGTGCCTGTAGTTCTTAACTCCATTCAGAATCTGAGGAACATGATCAAAACTCTGGACTCCGCCCAGAGAAAAGACATGGACGCATTCACTTGCACCAGAGTTTAGGGGGTTCACGGACCACCCCTTCCCCACCGCAGTTCATCTAGAGACCCAGGTTCAAGGTTAAAGACCTGGGATACGCAGCACTGGTTTTCAAATGTGAGGACCGAGACCTGCTGGTGGCTTAATCCATTCTGGGGCTGCTATAACAGAATCCCACAGCCTGGGTGGGGGTGGGGGGGACGGGAAGCTTATAAACAGTATTTATTTCTCATAGTTCTGGAGGCTGGAAGTCCAAGATCAAGGTGCCAACAGATTCGGTGTCTGGTGATACCTGCTTCCTCGTTCATAGTCAGTCATCTTGCTGTGTCCTTATATGGTAGGAGTGAGGGAGCCCTCTGGGGCCATTTATAAGGCAGGGGGGGCTCCATCTTGAAGACCTATGCACCTCCAGAAGCCCCCGCCCTCCAATGCCATCTCTGGGGGGGTTAGGATTTTAACATACAAATTTGGAGTGTGAGGGAACACATTCAGTCTATCGCAGTGGGTGATCCCCTTGGGGTTCTGCCAGTCAGAGCATCCTCTGTAGAAAGGATACGTATTGTTTTAAGATTTCGTTGAGTCACATCGTACGTAGAACGCATTGGCGTCAAAGATGCTTGACTAACGGAAGGAAGGGCCTCTGTCGCCATGGGCTGATTGAATGATCCATCCGCTCCTCTATCAGACATATGAGGAGAATGCACAGGCACACAGGTGCAAAGGCGAAGGGGACACCGTGGTGCCCAGGCCAGCGAAGGTCCCTGCCCTCCGGAGCCAGGCAAGCCCACGCTGCGCACCACACCCTGGGGGCGAGATCCACTTCACCTTTCTGAGACTCAGCCTCCTCCTCTGAGAAGTGGGGACAGCTTGTGGGCCTATGCTGAGTAAAAGGTGTGTGTCAAAGTCTGGCTGGGTGCACTACAGGCCTCCAAGGTCAGTGTGATGGCGGGGAGAGGGCAGCGCTGACAAAGCCATCATTCACCATAACATGGCTGTGTCCTTCCTCCTCCAGGCCCATAGCTGACTGCTGACCACCCTCACCCCCTTGGCCATGGACACCCCTGGCTACCCTGCCTCAGCGCCCACAACCTTGGAACCTGGGAACACCTCCTCAGCCTGGCTCCCAGACGCCACCCTGGGAAATGGGTCGGCGGACCCAAGTGCAGCAGGGCTGGCTGTCAGCGGTGTCCTGATCCCGCTGGTCTACCTGGCGGTGTGTGTGGTGGGCCTGCTGGGCAACTCCCTGGTCATCTACGTGGTCCTGAGGCACACGGCTAGCCCGTCGGTCACTAATGTCTACATCCTCAACCTGGCCTTGGCCGATGAGCTCTTCATGCTGGGACTGCCCTTCCTGGCGGCCCAGAACGCCCTATCCTACTGGCCCTTTGGCTCCCTCATGTGCCGCCTGGTCATGGCCGTGGACGGCATCAACCAGTTCACCAGCATCTTCTGCCTCACCGTCATGAGTGTGGACCGATACCTAGCCGTGGTGCACCCCACCCGCTCTGCCCGCTGGCGCACAGCTCCGGTGGCCCGCACGGTGAGCGTGGCCGTGTGGGTGGCCTCGGCCGTGGTGGTGCTGCCCGTGGTGGTCTTCTCGGGGGTACCCCATGGCATGAGCACCTGCCACATGCAGTGGCCCGAGCCTGCGGCGGCCTGGCGCGCTGGCTTCATCATCTACACGGCCGCACTGGGCTTCTTCGGGCCGCTGCTGGTCATCTGTCTCTGCTACTTGCTCATCGTGGTCAAGGTGCGCTCGGCGGGGCGGCGGGTGTGGGCACCCTCGTGCCAGCGGCGGCGGCGCTCGGAGCGCAGAGTCACGCGCATGGTGGTGGCCGTGGTGGCGCTCTTCGTCCTTTGCTGGATGCCTTTCTACGTGCTCAACATCGTCAACGTGGTGTGCCCGCTGCCCGAGGAGCCCGCCTTCTTCGGCCTCTACTTCCTGGTGGTGGCGCTGCCCTATGCCAACAGTTGTGCCAACCCCATCCTCTACGGCTTCCTCTCCTACCGCTTCAAGCAGGGTTTCCGCAGGGTCCTGCTGCGACCCTCCCGCCGTGTGCGCAGCCAGGAGCCTCCTGCCGGAGGACCTCCAGAGAAGACGGTAGAGGAAGAGGAGGAGGAGGAGGATGAGGAGGAGGGGGCAGGGAAGCAGGGGGAGGGGAAGATGAATGGCCGGGTCAGCCTCATTGCGCAGCCTGGCACCAGCAGGCAGGAGCGACCGCCCAGCGGCAAGGTCAACAAGGACAAGCAGTTCCTCCCCCAAGAGGCCTCGGCGGGAGACAAGCCAGGCACACTGCACATCAGCTATCTGTAGGGGTTCTGTGGAGGGCTAGCGTGGCCCCAGGACAGGACAGAGGCTGTGGGTGTGCCAAGGGCATGCTATCCATGGTGCCAGAGGCCTACGATGGGATGTTGGGAGGCCTGGGCTCTGATCCCATAGCCGCTGAGACTCGCTGTGTGACCTTGCCTAGGTCCCTTTCCTTCTCTGGGCCTTGCGTTCTTTTCTGTGACTCAGGGATGGGAGTAATCAGCCAGGACAAGCTCTGCTGGATGAGAAGTCTGGAGGGGCATCACCCCTGGCTGGCTGGCCTTCCGGAGGGGGGTCCAGGTTCAGGGGACAAGGTCAGACTGGCTTTCCCCTTCAAAGACAGAGCATCCTGGGGGACCAGCCTGAAGGTTGGCCCTCAGAACAACACTAAGGTCTGGATTTCCTAGGCTCAGAGCTAGGATCACAGGGGAGGGACTGGGCCCCAAGTAGAAGGAAGTTCTACCCAGGGCAGGGAGAGGTCCAAACCTGTTCAGGCCCCACATCAGCTCCCCCGACATGCTGCAAGGCCTCGGCCAGCTCTTCCTCTTCTCTGGGCCTCAGACCTCACCTGCTGAACAACCCAATAACCTCCAGGCCCTCTTGGCCAGATGTTAGTGCTGGGACTCCGTGTTCCCGGCCCTGAGAGGCAGTGGATTTTCTAGGAAAGTCACTCAGGCCAGCTTCAGGGTCCCTTACCGCTTGGGCCCACCCAAGGCCCCGTATCTCATTTTGTATTTGGAATTTTATATTCTTTTTCATAAAGAGGGTCTCCAATCTGCGTTAAGTTTAGACCACCCAAGGCCCTACTTGGCCCCTGTTGAGGGCAGCTGACCAATTCCCATAGCAGCTCATGTCGTGAGGTTGTGGCTAGAAGGGGGGGTGTCTCTGGGTTTCTGAGGGCTCCAGGAGCACCCCTTATAGCAGCACCCATTGGCGCTCCTCCCCTCCCAGAGACCAAGACAGGGCCCGGGTCAGGCAGACTGGTGGGGAAAGGCAGTGTCCTAACAGCATGGTGTGGATAAGGAGGGAGAGGAGGAGAGGAAGGAGGAAGAGGGTGGAGGAAGAAGAGAGGGAGGAGGAGGGAGGAGGACAGATCTGCTCCAGGACCATGCCGCCATCCTTGGCCCCTCTGGGTGGAGCTCCGTGGCAGCACTGCTGAAGGCATGTTGTGGGTGCCCGGCCCGATCAATCTCGAGGAAAGCACGCAGTCAGGGTGGGAAAGCAAATGCTCTGGAAGGTATAACACTGGCTCCCTTGAGGGCCTGCCTAGGCTGGTAAGAGGGGCTGCGCCTTGATGGTGGCCTAGGGCTATTGCTGAGACTCAGGACCCCACAGGTCAGGGAGCAGTCCTCCCCATTCTCTATATTCTCCCAAGGGGGAGAATATGGGGCACCCCAAGGAAGACAAGACAAGGGGGGCTGGAGGGGAACCACAGGAGAGGCCACTGTGCAAGAATTCTCTCCCAGAGATAAGCCCTTGGGGCCATCGTGAGATTGGCCCCGGGGGAGGGCGGCACCTCAGGCTAACTCCCTCCATCCCCCACCCCAGCAAAGGGCAAGGGGGTCCTCAGGGAAAGCACGTGAACCACAGATTGGGAGACCTAAATTTTCAACTCAACTCAGGATCCTGGCTAGCCTTGACCTCTCTGGGGTTCAGTTTTCCCATCATAAAATAGTAGGTTGTCCCAGTCTGCCCACCTGCTCAGAATTGGGGGTGGAATGAATTATGTTGGACAAATTGCCCCCCATACTACAATGGGTAGGGGTGGGTGTATCCGATTTTAAAGTAAAGTATCAGATTATAAAGCCCCCAACCAGGCTTGGTCCACACCTGCTCCTTCATCAGGCGGCCTCTCTGTCTCTGGCCTTTGGGGGTAAGAGCAGTGCGGGACCCAGGATTGGGGGAAGGGGAGGAGGCAGAGGCCAAAGATAAGAAGGTGGGGCTTGGGGAGTTGGCCGGCTCAGAAGTTCCCCAAACAAGACCTTGTATGGATGTTGGAGCTGGAGGCCCAGCCCTCAGTCTGGGGTTCCTCTGAGAAGGATGTGGGGGTCTGAGTGAAGAAGGGCACCCGGCATTTCAGCATTTCCTGGCCAACCCTGCCTTCCTGACTCCTGGGACAGGTGAGCCTGTCCAGCACGGGTGGCTGGAAAGCCCCTGAGGGGGACCCTTCGCTGCTCCTGCCCCTTGCTCTTGTCAATAAAGACAGTGACACACGACACTAGCTGTGACCTGGGCCAGTTCATCTGTCTTGGTGGGCCTGTGTGTGTGTGTGTGTGCGCACGCCGCCTCTCCCTCTCTTCATCTCTCAGCTCTGCGTGCACAGGTCTCTGTGTATGGCTTCCCAGAGTCCGGGTCTCCAGGGCGCATGGAAGAGGCCCCGATAAGCCTCAGCCAACATCCTTACAGATCTTGGTCCCAAAGCCGTAGATAAGAGTCTTTTCCTGTGCCCGAACAGCAAGACTCGTGGCAGGAAGCTGATTGGCTCGACTGGGTCACGTGATAGCTCCTTGGGCCAATTACCAAAGATAAAGTGATGGAGTGCGACGATTGGTCAGGTGTGGGTCACGTGCTCATCCTTCTCACCTGGGAGACAATGGGACGCTGTGACTGACAGGCTGGCCTGACCCCAAAGCCGGTGTGTGCCCCAGGCAGCAACAGGAGACTGTGCATTTGCGAGCACGGGGTGCCTAGGAGGGGCCGGGGCATCTCAGCCACATCCACGCGTGAACACGAGGGGTCTACAGTGCCCGAGGCAGGTGTGCCTGTGGTGAGAGCAGAGGGACTGCTAGTGGTGAAGGGTCGCAGGGGAGAGGTTTCCGGGCCAGGGTTCCCCTCTGGATCCCACAGCCCCCAAGCTTCCCCACCATGCCATGTGTCACTGCCTGTGCCCGCTCACATTCATGCGTGTGGGTGCCCCACCGCCAGCCTTGCCTCTGCAGGCAGGGACTGTGTTCCCAAGTCAGGTAACTATGAATATTTGCAATAAATGAGTGAATAGGGGAATTCCATTTCACAAACTTCAGGGGCAGTGTTCACGCGGTGACTCTGGCCTCCTTTGGCTCTGTGCCCTGCAGTAATCCTGAATCAATGTGGGGAGGGCCAGGGGGATGGAAGGAACCTGTGTAGGGGTTTGGGCCTGGAATCTGTGGGTTATTGGAAAAGCAGGCGCCTCAGGGGGAGGTGAGGCCTGGGGTTGTGAGCCAGGACAGGCAGGAAGGGTGGTGATGACCTTCCCTGCCTGATTCCCCCTCTCCAGATCTTCAACTTACTCACACCCAAGGCCTTACCTTGAACTTGTCTCTCAGAGGCGGTTGCCAGGCAACAGCCCATGGCCACTAGGCTCTGGACCAGGACTTCATGCGTCAGCATCCGCATCAGTGGGGAGGAGCTGGGAGACCGCAGGGCCTGAGGCCCCAGGCTTCAGGTTGTCCTCACCGAAAAGATGTGGGGGAGACAGAGGCTACTGACCCATGGGGAGGTGACAGCTGGGCTCCACAGGATGCCAAACACAGATGGAAACTCTACAGGTGGGAAGAACCCCAGGCAGGAATGTGAGGGGCATTCCCCGGGATAACGCAAGGTCACAGTCCCGCCACGGCCTTGCACTGCCCCGGTCACTGGCAGGCCCTGGTGACCTTCTTGGTGAGACCACTGGAAGGCTGTGGGGGAAATGCATCCCCTAAAAGCTATGGGACCCGAATCAGGAGGCCCACTCTGTCACAAACCTACTGTGCAGCCCTGGGCCATTTACTTCATCTCTCTGCACGTAGCTCATTAAGTTAACAAAGATTTTCCTGAGCACAGACAGTAGGCAAGGCTCTGACCCTGGACTGAAGGTGCGGTGGGGGAAGATAGATGCCGTCTCTGTGCCCTTGTTGTTCCCGGAGAGCCACAGAATCTAGTTGGGAGAGAAGTGTGATAGGGGAGGGGTGCATGTGGCGCGGACACCTGACTGCCTGGAAGAGGGACCCGTGTGTGCTAAGGCCTTGAGCCCGAAGCAATGCTGTCAAGAAAAAGAGGAAAGGCAGAGATCGGGCCCAGGTGAGGGGCAGAAGCTGTGTCAGACAGGACCTCATAGGGGGTTAATTCCTGTTGTACGTTGTGTTGAGTCTCCTTGCCAAATTCATGTTCAAGTCCTAACCTTGGGTACCTCTGGATGGGACCTTATTTGGAAGTACGGTCCTTTCAGGCATAAGTAGCTAAGATGAGGTCATACTGGGGTAGGGTCAGCCGCCAATCCAGTGTGACTGGTGTTCTTAAGCCAAGGGGAGATTCGGACAGACAAGAGTGCAAGGAAGATGCAGCGTGAGGCTTCTACAAGTCCCAGGACACCAAAGGTTGTCAGCCAAGTGCCAGAAGCTGGGTGGGAGGTCCTCAGAGCCCTCCAGAAGGAAGCAACTGTGCTGACTTTTTGATCTCAGACGCCCAGCCTCCAGAACCAGGAGCAAATGAATTTCTGTTGCAAGCCACCTAGTTCGTAGTACTTAGTCATGGCAGGCCCAGGGAGCGAACACAGTTCCCTGCCTGCAAAACAGAACTTATGGTCCCTCCTCTCCCAAGACCTCCGGGGCTTGCATAATTCCTGTCCCGCTCACTCTTTCATTTAGCAAGTATTTTGGGGAGCAACTGCCAATTGCAAAAAGCTGAAGGCAGAGAAGTTTCAAGGCCTGGCAGTCTTAGGAGCAAAGGAAGTCACAGGGAAGAGAATAGATAAACTAGCCAGTTCTGAAGCACATGGCCCCTGGAACTGCCTGGGCTTGAATCCCGGCTCATCCGTTCACTAGCTGTTTGGCCTTGAAGCAGTTAATCAACCTTCCTGTGCTTCTCCCCGCAACCCCTTGTCTCTGAGATGGGGTTGAGAGCAGATGTCCCTATTGTTGGGAGGTTTAAATGAGTTAATATTTCTCCACAGTTAAGCACTGTGCCTGATGTGTTAGGTGCTGTGTTCAATGAATGCAAGAAGTGCTTTCCCAGAAGGAAGAATCTCTCCACGGGTGGGGGGGGGTAGGGAAGTCTCCCCAGGAGGCGCGATGGCCCAGCTGAGTGTAGAGAGGACACTGGAGTGCATGCACCAGGGAGGAATTATGCAGGACGGTCTAGGTACTGACGACCTAGCACTATTGGACCTAGGACAGCTCCAATACCCGTTTATAGCACAGGACGGTCAGACCAGGGATGGTCAAACACCTGGCTCAGGGTCATAGTACCAGAAGCGGGACCAAGAAGCTGTTTTCCCAGCCCCCAGTCCAGTGTCTACAGTTTTGTTTTGTTTTTTAAACTATGAAACTGGGGGGCAAGGTGGCAGGAGCAATGCGGCACGTGGAGAGAGCTCTGAGGCCACTGATGCCAGCTCCTTGGTGGCCACTGGGTGTTGGCAGATGATGTCCTTGGGGAAGACCAGACAGGTGTGAGGGCAGCCCAGGCCCCGTGGGGACTCCATGGCCTCCAGGAGGCTCTGCCACCCTCCAGGGAGCCCTGCAGCCCAGAGGTGTGAACGAAGGGCAAACACTTGTGCACGTTGTGTGTGCAGAAGGTACCTTTTCAAAGAAAATGTCTCGGCCACACTCGAAGGCATCTCCAGGGTCCCAGACACCTCAGGT